GAAACTGAGCATCAGGGAGCACTGGACAATGCAAAAGAAAGAAAAAGAAGGAAAAGACAAGATAAATGAGGGGAAGAGAGGAATGGAGAGGAGAGGAGAGGAGCGGAGAGGTGAGAAGATACGAGAAGAGAAACAAAGTGAAGAAAGGAAGGGAAGACAAGAAAGAAAGAAAGGAAGAAAAGAAAAGCAAAGGAAGAAAAATAAAGAAAAGAAAAGAAAAGAAAAAGAAAATCCCATGAGGACTTGAACCCAACACCTCTCCCTCAACAGATAAACAGGTTGAACAAGAAAGCTACAAGTCTACTCACTGTCTTTAATATTAATTTATTTTACATATATAATACAGAAAGCATTTAATAGCATTAATTATATTTGCAGTTAGTGAGAGATTACATTGACCTTTAAGAAAGAAACATTCCTTACTGGCCCAAACAAGACAGAGTTACCTGATACAATGGACTACCAACACATAGGCAGAGGGAACAACTGTCTCTTATAGAAACTGCTAGTAACAAACATATTGTCCCTCTTTTAATTTGCTATTTTTTTTCCTTTCTCCCAGTCTTTCTTATATCCACAACTACTTACAAAAAAAAAAAAAAGAAAAAAGAAAAAAAGTTGTTCTGAGCTCTGGTACTCAAGATAACCCAGCTCAATTCTGATTAAGCTCATATGTCAGTTTGCTAGCATTGTGTTAGTAGGAAATGATGGTATTGGCTTCCCAGAGATGGGGTTTGAGAAAGGAAATCACATGACCACATTGTATAACAAAATAGAAAAATCATAAAAAAGGAATAAATCAAAAATATGGTAGCCCTGAGATAGCTGTATCACATCAGGTTAAAGCAATGAATTATGACCCATTGAGGAAGAGGGGTAATGTTGGGCAGGCAAGTGTGGATGTGGGGATTCCTCTCAGAGGAAAAGCAAAGTGTCTGTTTAAGTGTGAAACACTGATTTAGGCTAGAACTAATTTAAGAAACAAGCCTGGAAAATGGGAGATGATGATGTAAAACGGTTTGAGATCCATATTAAAGGGACTGAAGATCCTATGAAGAACTTTGAGCAAAGTAGTTTAATATTCCCAAACTGAAGGTTTAGAAATTCCTTACTGTGGATTTTCAGGAAGTGTGGAAGGTGATGAGACCAGTGAAGGAGAGACCAGTTAGGAAGCTATTGAAACAAAGAAACCCTGGGTCACGTTTTTCCCTTCAGCTTCTGCTGACAGGAGGACAAATAGGCAGGTGTGTCCCAGGTCTCAGCACAGGGTCTGATCCAGAAATCCTCCACAATGTGTCAAACAAATGAATAAAAGGAAGGAGACAGATGCAAGGGATAGTGCAGCAAAAAGTTACGAGATATGGACATTTTAGGGAGGAGCAGAGTCAGAAAAACTCGGCAGTTTTGAAGCCAAGTAGTAGACAGTTAACATTTTCTCACTTGATGTATGTTGAAAGGCTAAAAGAACCCACAAACATGTAACAATTTATGGAATGAATGGGTGACCAGATGTGGAGAGGAACTAATGGAGGAATCTTGAGCTAAAATGAAGAAAGTACACATTTTGCAGTCAGGAAATTATCTGGTTTCCAGTTCTGGCTTGGTCCTTTAGCCCAATGTAGCTTTAGGGAAGTATTTTCCTCTTCTGCACTCTAGATTCATAACAAAGTGCATCTAATCACATATAGATTTGTGCAAAAGTTCACTGGGTGATTTGGGTGATTTTCTGGGTTAATTGACTTTAATCAAAGAAAAATTGAACTTCTCATATCTTAATGACAGAGAATAATTGTGGAGCTTGGAACAAGGTGCCCAGAGATGTTAGACACCTTCCCACCCATATAAACCAGGATGCAGGAGCACTATCTTTCTTGATTATAATATTTCAAAACATGGTTCCAGCACCCTGTGAAAAAAATTCCTGCCCTGTAAAACTGGCAAGAGGATTATTCAGCTTTTGGAGTGATGTACATATACCTCAAAGGGGCTAGAAAAATTTAAAAATTATACATTTTCTAAAGAACATTCCTTAAAAGGGAGAGCCCTTGTTTTGCACCAGGAGAAATTAGGGATTTTTATTTTTCCGTTTGTCTTTACCACTGTAAGTGTCATTAGCTAATTTAACATATTTGTGCTTGGATTTTCCAAATCAAAATTGGGAATGAAAATACCACTTATCTCAAAAATCTATCATTCATTTATTGAGCAAGTGTTTTTAGCATCTATTGTGTACCAGATGCACCTCTATGTAATGAAGATACCATCACACAGAAAATGGAGGACCAGATATCAAAAACCTTCCTCCCTGCCCAGATCTGTGCTGTTCTCAGTTCTTGAACAATAATACTGTTCTTGCCTCTATTCTAAGTTCTGTGCTCCCATTTATTTATATCTCTTTGCAGTTGGGATGGAAAAGGCCCTTCCTAGAGGCAAAATCAAAAATAGATAGAAGGATCATTCTTGAATGTAGAAAATCATACAAATGTCATTGATGTTTTACAAGGTAGGATTGGTCTATCAAAGAAGGGAGGGGGGTTCTTTTGCTTTTCAGTTCCATTTCTGGTTTAACAGACAAGAAATGAAACAACCACTTATGGCAAAAATTTCAAAACACCAATATGCATAGTTAGAGCAAGGTTACTCTCATCCTGTTGCATCAGATCCAGGGTTGGGATGTGCTCAGAAAGTGGAGTCTCCAGGGCTTGTCATCATTTACTATGACCCTGTGTATAAAGAAGGCCTCAAGACAGAAAGAGAAGTGACTTATTGTTTCAGAAGCTGGTCCCTATTCTGATTCAGAGATCTAGAACCTTGGTAACGTGAAAAGAGGACAAGAAAAATGAAAATCCCTAAATTCAAAGACTTGGTGGCTGTTAACTTTCTCACTATACATTTTCTATTAAAATAATTAAACCCTAATTAAGACTGAGATAACTTCTGAGCCAAACAAAAGTTGTAATTGTGGAGGGAGAGGGAAAGGTGTACTTCAGGGACTGAGATTCTGCAGAGGGTTTTCGTCTCCCTGACAGAACGACAATTTTGAAACCTCAAGTCCTGGTGACAGTTTATACTAGCCAAGAGCTCTACAAACCCAGAAGGTACAAGTATTGCTTGTTGATCTTCACCTTGCCAGAAGGACTAACCCAGAGATTGACTGTATCAAGGTGCGTAAACCTGAAAAATCTTTTATTTACTCTGATGGGCTGTTTAAAATTTCCCAGAAAAGTAGAAATTTGACTTCTCTCTTTGACTAAGCAAGAGAATTTATGAAGGAGTCTGTAAGCCTGAGACTGTGACTCTTCTGATCTTTAAAAAGTTTGTACCTGGGGCCAGAAAGATGAAGGGGACCAGTTCTAATAGCCATGACTCTAGAAGTGCTTGAACATTTTTGTCCTTGTGTTCAGGATCTGGTTCCATAAGAGAGCTTTGGGGTGGGTTTTATAGAAGGTCTTCTCTTTTGTTTCATCCAGAAATTAAAAAGATATAGAAGCCTTTTCAGGTTTCTAGGAAAAATCATATCTTCAGGCTCCATTTTAACCTGAATTATGACTGTTAGTATTATTCAATTTCATAAAATTCTTTCACCTCAGTTTTGGTGCATTTCGGTTTCCAATATGGGCCACAGTTTTTTCTTTATCTTGCTTATTCCCCAAGTGCATTTTTGTTTAATTTGAATATTTTCTTTCTGCATTCATTCTTCAAGGCCACCCATCCTGACATGTAATGTTATATATATATATCATGCGTGCAAGTCAACTTCATCCATTATATGCCAGTTTGAGTGAGCACTTTTAACAACAATTATGACTAGAAAATACAGTTAATCTTTTGAGAAATTTCTACCAGGTATTTGCTAGGCTGTGAGATAGTATAATCTGAGACACATGTTAATTTTCCCATAGTCTTATATAGTAGACAGCAGTACTCACTTTTTAGTTGAGAAAACTGAGGCTGAAATATATACACTTATTTACTTTCCTAAAACATTGGGTGTTAGAGCCAAAAGGGCATTGCAAATTTGTCTAAATGCAAAGTGTGTCTTTTAAAATTGTTTCCAAAAATAATATGATAGAGTAGTCACCCCTCCCTCCTCTGACATTTTTCATCTCAGTCAGTCAAAAAGAAAAAAAAGTGATTTATTAGGTGAGACAGAAGATAATCTCAAATCTATTCAGAGGTTTGGAATATGGGGAAAATGAAGTGAGAGACAGAAAAATGGGAAATCCCACATGGAAATGAAAAACAACCAGAAAAGTCTTGCTTAAGGATGTCTGGCTATTGAGATGTATTGAAGACAGTCACTTTTAGCAGATTCCAGATCTCCAGACTAAATATTTAATTAATTTTTATTCCAGATCTATTAGTCAATGCTGTTGCTCAGGCTCCTAAGATCTATAGTATATTTCACTCTGTGCTAGGCATTTCAGATCATTTCATGCTTTGTTTAACCCCTTCCTGAAGGCCTCAGTCTCCCTCTTTGTCAAGCAAGGAAACAGAGCCTGTCAGAAAATAACAAATTTTCCCCAAATCTTAGGCTACCTGGTATCAAACAAGTCAACGTTCATGTAGTTCATGTTGCCTAAGGCCTTGAAGACAAGGGTATATCAAAAGTATACCCTAATGATTGGTTGAAAGTGGAGGGGAATAAGGCTTGCAGAAAGGCATTCCAAATATAGAGAACATATGCAAATTCTGGGGATCAGATAAAAATCCTTATTTGTTTGGGAAAATTATCAGTAAGTTGATACAAATTTCTAGGTGACAAATGAGATTGAAGAGGTTAATGATAAATGAGTAAAATCCGGTAGCCGTAGCTGTGGAACCACAAATAGTCCCCCTTCAAAAAAGGGGGTTTCTCTCATATGTCCGCCTGGCTGTGGCCCTCTTGGGAACTTAGGCGAGTCTTGGCGAAGGTGTACCCGTATAAACCCGGGCCTGGGCGCTCCCTTTAGGGCAGTGAATCGCCATTATGTGGTACGCCGCGGCCGCCGCCGAACCGCAGTTTCTGTAGAAAATGTTTCCTGACAGCAATGAGAGAAAGTGGAATACACTGTCCCTTGTGTCGTGGAAATGTGACTAGAAGAGAGAGAGCATGTCCTGAACGGGCCTTAGACCTTGAAGATATCATGAGAAAGTTTTCTGGTAGCTGCAGATGCTGTGCAAAACAGATTAAATTCTATCGCATGAGACATCATTACAAATCTTGTAAGAAGTATCAGGATGAATATGGCGTTTCTTCTATCATTCCAAACTTTCAGATCTCTCAAGATTCGGTAGGGAACAGTAATAGAAGTGAAACATCCACATCTGATAACACAGAAAGTTACCAAGAGAATACAAGTTCTGGGCATCCCACCTTTAAGTGTCCCCTGTGTCAAGAATCAAATTTTACCAGACAGCGTTTACTGGATCACTGTAACAGTAATCACCTATTTCAGATAGTTCCTGTGACATGTCCTATTTGTGTGTCTCTTCCTTGGGGAGATCCTAGCCAGATTACTAGAAATTTTGTCATCTAAATCAAAGACATCGGTTTGATTATGGAGAATTCGTGAATCTTCAACTAGATGAGGAAACCCAGTATCAAACTGCTGTTGAAGAATCTTTTCAAGTAAACATCTGAAGGCTGTTATACATCTCCACATCTTTGTACCTGCAAGTGCCATCTTTAAGGGGAAAACTACATGAAGTCACTGTTTCAATAACTTGATGTGTATATTAATAAAAGTAATTCAGTCTATTGTTTTAGTTTTTTGATTGAAAAATAAAGGTAGGCCATCTAAAAACTTCATCGTCTTGATAAGTTAAAAATGAAAGTTATGACATTAGCTTTAAAAGCAAAAATGGATTATATTTCACTAATGTAATGGTGAAAAGGGAAACCCTGTTGTACTTTTTCTTTTTTTATATTACATATTCTTGAATTTTTCATTATGTTGCTTTTGAAATTTGGTACATTTCCTCTCATTTACTTTATTGTACACAGATAACACACAGTAGCAAATTCTGAAAGATGTGATTGATATAAACCTAACAAATCTGAGCCAGTTGTCAGAGTCACAGAATAGAAACTTGAAGTACTAAATGGAACAATCCAAAGGAAATTTTTAAAATACAGATTCTAGCTGAAGAATTCAACTATAACAAAATTGTATTTATATAACGTTTAGTATTTTTGAAGACTAGTGAGATTTCTGTAATAATTTTAACTCTTTACAAAGTTAAAGCTCATTGTAAAGATACTTTCAGTCTGCTAGTAGAAGGAAATACCAAGAGAAAAAATTTATTTCTTTGATGGGCAATTGGTGATTTCTCTCTTGTTTTATTAATTTGTAAACTTGGAATATGGTAAGCTGAATAACAGCTTAACCAGAGAATTTTCAGTAGCCAGTATTTCTGATTAGCTGAGATGAAACTTGTATTAGGAACCTTCAGTTGGTGATACTATGTTCTACAGATAAATTTAAATGAGAAATTTAGCTTCTTCTTAGTTTAGAAATTAATTCAAAGCTAAAGATATATATGTATATATACATACATTTTGTGTGTGTATACACATATGTATACAGTTTGTCAGGTTATATACAGAATTTCTATTAAGGATTTTAAAAGTGGATAAGCAATAGAAGATTGAAGTTTTCATCTGTTTTGATTAAAATTTTATATATCAAAATGTTTAAAGTAAGAGTCACATGCTAACTGATCTAGTTGGCTGCTGTTACACCTTAAAAATTGAGTTTACACAGACACACAATTACCTATTTTTATGGTGCTCATTTGTTATTCTCAAAGATAATGCATGACTATGATGTAGTGAAACAGATTCTACCAGCTACCCTGTTCTGCTACTTTTTAGTCAAACCTGGGTTTGTTCTTAGTATTCATTAATAAGAATCATAAAGTATTTTGTATAAGGCCTAAATCACAGAATTAAGGATGAGGAGTGGATTAGCTGACATTCTTTACTAATATACATTGTTTAAGCTTTCTTTAACTAAACATAAAATCTTGGAAGTAGTTTGCTGCTAATATATACATATATTGTATAAGAAGGTATATTTTGGTTTTGTTAAAACCCTTGTTGACTTTTCTACAGTGGACATTTTTTAAACTTGATTTAATAAAAATATTAATTTTGGAAGTGGAGTTTTGTAAAAGCCTTTTTCAATCAAACAGTAATGACTTTATGTATAGTTGTAACAATCTCAAAAAAAGCCATACATCTTAACATATGCTTTTTGTTCTGTCATTTTAAAAGAGTGATGTTTACTATGTGCTTGAACATTTTCTCTGCAGTTATAAGAGTAAGAATATCTGTATAATGAACTCTTTTTAAAGAGACTTTTGACCATAGTTTTTTCTAATTTAAAGCAATAACTTTAGTAATTTCTTTCAAAGTTTAATATGTCCAGTATGTCAAATTAAAACCATTCTGGGATTTGAGAACTTTAAAGGAAAATTGTAGTAAAGATCATCTTGATGAAATTGTGTTTTGAAGTTTTGTGGAAATTGAGTTAAATACTAAGTTTTGTGTGTCTCACATATAAGCTTTTTTATAAGGAAAATTACTTGCTTTTATCTGGGAACTCCTCATTATAGAAATGATTGTTTAAAATCTCTCCTTTTGTCAGTCCATTGGGGATAGGGATAGGCTATAGAGATTTAATTTATGGAAATTAAATTTATGGGAAAAAGTTCTTATTTTTAATATTGCTTGTAGCTAAGTCAGGATAAAGGTTGGAAACTTGATACTCTGATACCTAAATTTCACAATACCACTTATGAAAGCTGTTTCAGCAAATTACAGTTTATGTTGTTAAACAGAGTCTTATTTGAAATGTATCGCTTTATTTTTCAATTAAAAGTGGTTTTCTCCTAAAAAAAAAATGAGTAAAATCCTATCTAGCCTTGAAAGTAGGAAAATCAGCTTGGCTATATAGAGATCAAAGCAGCCCTACTGTTAACCAAGGTGGAGAGCAGACACAGGTAAAGCTGCTGCAAAGTTAACCTGAGACACTGTTTCTCCCAAAGTTATGCAGCAGCTATAAATGCTCTAATGACCCCTTGTTTGAATGATTATTCTTTTTTTATCAGGAAAGTCTCAACCTTCTATGCTACACGCAGCCATTATTGGGAATACCTAATTCATAAACTGCCTTTATCTCATGACAGTACCTAATCCCTAATTAGTCCTCTTCTAATCCCTTTGAGAAACATCAACACCTCCTGAACAGACCACAACTTCCCATAGAATCCCTCATATCTTCAGAGGGGACTCAGACCTTTCAAGAAAATACCTGTCCAGTGGCATTTCCTGGTTCTTCTGAAGCACCGTGACTGTCTCTAATCAGTAGATATGTTTTTGTTCATAACACAATCTTGTTCCGATGGTCTTTGGCTGATTAGACTTTGAAACTTGAGGTCCTGTAGTGGAATGCATGCTACTTGACTTGATATTGAGGAATAGCAAAACATACTGAAAATTTGTAAACAGTGAACTCACAGAATCAGTTTGGGGTATTAAAAATGACTCTGGAAATATTACAGTGTGTGTATTAGAGACAGTTCAAATTGGAAGCAGGAACAAACCAGGAAATGTTATATGTCACAAAATGTGAGCTATGATGACATATTGAACAAAAGAAGTGTCACCACCAAAGATATAATAGTGGATAGATTTGAAAAATGTTATAGTTTTGAAACGGCAGGATTTTCTCCATGTCTATATATGGGGGATTGGAGAGGTACATGGATTCAGCATAAACTGCAGGTTTTTGGAATGGGCTAATAGGAATATCAGAAATAAAGGAGAAAAGACAGAGAGGTATTCTGGTTGGCAGAAGTTTTAGTTCAATTCAGTACATGCTGAGATTTAAAATATGTGGGATATATACAGAGTTGAATAAGTAGGTTCACTGTGTTTGTATAGAGCTCAGAAAAAAAAAAAACTCTTTGTGGCAAATTCAGGTATTTGGGGCCACATAAAATGACACAGAAAGAGTGCACAAGGAAAAGCATAAAGTTCTTTGGACAAAAACCTGCTCTATCAAATATCATATCAATCATGTTGTTGTATCCTATATAACACTAAAACCTACATTACGAATTAATCTTTGCAGATACATATCCTCATTACTAGTGCTTTCTTCAAACAGTGTTTGCTGGATATAAAGTTTTTCTGCCAACAAAGTAAGAAACGACTTTAAGATCATCAAAGGAACAATATTCCTTTCTCTAACTGGTTTTGGCACTGTGGAGGACATCTCTGTTTTTATGAATTATATGTGCATTTTCTTTTGGAGCAGTGAGAAGAAATCTTTACACTTTATTCTCATCTATTTGGTTTTTACAAATATCGTAAATCTTTTTTCCAAAGGAATTCTAGTGACAATAGCAGCTTTTGATTTGAGAAACTTCCTAGATGATATAGGCTGTAAAATTGTTCTTTATCTGCAGAGAGTGGTTCGGGGCATTCTGTTTGCACCAATAGTCTCCTCATGGTGGTCCAGGCCATCGTCATCAGTCCCAGAGCATCTGCATTGGGGAGGCTCAAGTCAGGTTTCCCTCGGAATATCCTTCCTTTGTTTCTCTTCTTTTGGACACTCAATTCCTTGATAAGCATGAATTTACTCTATTGGATCACAAACAGCAGCATGAACATATCACAAATTAGTGAAAGTAATGACTATTCTTATTTTCTACCAGGGATCCCCGTAATAAGATGGATTTTTCTCACATTCATGGCCCTGCGAGATACCGTTTCAGGGTCTCATGTGCTGGTCCAGTGCCTGTATGGTATTTCTTCTCCACAAGCATCACAAGAATGTTCTCTACATTCAGAGCTCCAAATTTCTGTGCAAAACTCACCCTGAAATAAGAGCTGCTCAAAGTATTCTCCTTCTGATACTTTGTTTATTTTCTTTTATTGGGCAGATTGTAGTATGTCTTCATATTCAGCTCTTGTTTTTGAGAATAATTTCATAATATCAAATATTTGAGCTATTGGTTATGCAGTTCTTAGCCTATTTGGCTGATTCACAGGGATAGACACGTGGCTAAATGTTGGCACACTTGGTGAGACTGGAGAAAACATGTGTTTCATTGATCTTTTCAATAAACAAGTTTGAAATAACTTTTAGTTTTGTTATGCTATATATAAAACAAAACCAAGTAAGAGCAGCTGAATCATATAAGAGTATATTTGCATACAACAACCATGGTGACCTGCAGCCCAGAGTTGACACAGAGATCATAGAAAGCTAGGGGAACCCAGACATTTTCTCATTCTCCACTCTGCAACCCTGAAGAAATGTCTTTAATTGTAATGCTTCTAAGATGGCTCCTTCACTGTCATTCTTACAGTAGTAAGGAGTAGGAAAACAATTTGGTATATTTCATCAAATTTACTAGTGTATTTATCCTGTTGACCCAGAATTTATTTTCTAGGAACTGATTCTACAGGTATACTTGCGTTTGTGAGAATTACAACAGCCTAATATTTTATATGTTGGAGCATTTGTCATTAAATTTTTATTGTGTTCTTAAGCACAACCTAAATATCTAGCAAAAGGAACTATTTTTCTGTATATTAGAAAACAGCCATAAATATCCATTCCTACAAGGGATTCTACTGAACTTATGAATGAATGAATGTACAAGTACAAAATGTAGTGGTATAGAATGATATGACATTTTAATTAATAAAGAAAAGCTATGCAAGAGTAATAATGCTGAAAATAAA